TTAAATCAATGAGTTCATAGTGATCCTTAAATAAAAAGAAAACCTCTGGATGATGCTAAGAAAGCAACTCATTTTGAAACCTGGTAAAGAAAGACAAGCATTTATCCTGCCTTTGTTACTTGAAAGTAACCAGATTTGATGATAGAAGTTTCTCATTACAGAAGCACTCATTAAGGCCCAGGTCCAGCCATAATTAGTGTGAGAGTTGCCAAGGGGTGGCCAATGGGAGATTCCTGAGTCCCCAAAATACCTCCCTGAGTCTGTCCTTGGGGCACCTCCTTTTAGAGCTTTCTTCCAGCAGACGATGCCTTTAATTGTACTCTTCATCCAGCAAGATGTGTGGGTCCCACTTCCTACACTAACTGCTCTCCCAGCACAGTCTGAGTCAGTCAAAAGTCTTGATCTTGGGGCCAGGTGTGGTGGCTTATACCTGTAATCCCAGCGCTCTGGAGGCTGAGGCGGGCAGATCACTTGAGGCCCAGAGTTCGAGACCAGCCTGGCCAACATGCTGAAACCTTGTTCTACTGAAAATACAAAAATTAGCTGGCATGGTAGTGTGTGCCTGTAGTCCCAGCTACTCAGGAGGTTGAGGCAGGAGAATTACTTGAACCCAGGAGGCAGAGGTTGCAGTGAGCTGAGATGGTGCCACTGCACTCCAGCCTGGGCAACAGAGCGAGACTCCATCTCAAAAAAAAAAAAAAAAAAAAAAAATGAACCCATAAAAGCAGAGAGTAGAATGCTGGGGGATGGTGAGATCCTGCACATTGTATTGGCCGGAGGTGCCACTGGATATCACTCCCGGGAATGAGATGCACCATTGGGCCAGCAGCCCAAAGCTGTACACCAGGCTAACTAGGGAGTCTGCCAGGAGGTAAAACTGACTCTGGGTTTATGTTCTTTATGAGCTCGTTGGTACCTACCTAGGAGTGAGTGCTTATAAAAGATAATAAATCTGTCCCTGACCATGGCAGATGCTGCCTCCTTCACTACCAGTGTCTTGGCAGCCCTGCAGGCATCCCTCTTTTTTTCCTTTGGGAAGGTTGTTTTACATACCAATATTGCTCTAGACTTTCTTTTGGCCCAAGTGGGAGGAGTGTGTGCGATTGTTAACACCACTTGCTATACCTGGATAAGCACATCAGATTTCATAGAAACACAAATAGGCAGGGCACAGTGGCTCACGCTCGTAATCCCAGCACTTTGGGAGGCCGAGGTGGGCAGATCACCCGAGGTCAGGAGTTTGAGATCAGCCTGGCCAACATAGTGAAACCCTGTCTCTACTAAAAATAAAAAGTTAGCCAGGCATGGTGGCAGGCACCTATAATCCCAGCTACTCAGGAGGGTGAGGCAGGAGAATTGCTTGAACCCCAGGAGGCAGAGGTTGCAGTGAGCCGAGATCACGCCATTACACTCCAGCCTGGGTGACAAGAGCAAAACTCTGTCTCAAAAAAGAAAAGAAAAGAAACACCTGTAGAGGAAATTTAGGAGCAGGCCCACTGGCTGCAGACAGTGGGGCCACCTGAAGCATCCTTCTTTGGCTTCCTTAGCAACTTCTTACCTGGATCGCTGGGTCCTAGGCTAGATCATGCTCCAGGCAGCCCTGATCATTCTGTTGTGGTAGGGGTCCTCCTGGGTCTCGTGAAATGGATTCCGGCTATGGCTCAATGATGTTGCACTGAAATTGTGTCAGTTAAGATAATATCGAACTGATGAGACAAACCTCTGCCTTCAAATCCAGGGAGGTTGGTGGCATATGAAATTGGCCAGTTTTGTTAAGGGGGATATCTGGGTTTTCAGTGGACTACAGGGCAATTCTCCAGATGGCCTTGGATTGACCCAGTTCTCCCAACTTTCTCACTGTAATCCTCAAGAATAACTATAGAATGTGCTGGGAATGCATAGCCTGAGGTCAAGAGGAACTGGCCAGAACAGCCTGGGCTCTTTCCTGTCCCCACTATGAAAGAATGCCCTTCAGTCTGGGCATGTGGCTCATGCCTGTAATCCCAGCACTTTGGGGGGCTGAGGTAGGTGGATCACCTGAGGTCAGGAGTTCAAGACCAGCCTGGCCAACATGGTGAAACCCTGTCACTTCTGAAAATAAAAAAATTAGGCCGGGCGCGGTGGCTCACGCCTGTAATCCCAGCACTTTGGGAGGCCAAGGCGGGCGGATCACAAGGTCAGAAGATCAAGACCATCCTGGCCAACGTGGTGAAACCCCGTCTCTACTAAAAATACAAAAATTAGCTGGGCATGGTGGCACTTGCCTGTAATCCCAGGTACTCAGGAGGCTGAGGCAGGAGAATTGCTTGAACCCAGGAGGCGGAGGTTGCAGTGAGCCGAGATTGTGCCACTGCACTCCAGCCTGGCGCCTGGCGACATAGCGAGACTCTGTCTCAAAAAAAAAAAAAAAAAAAAAAAAAATTAGCTGGGTGTGGTGGCATGCGCCTGTAATTCAGCTACTCAGGAAGCTGAGGTAGTAGGATCGCTTGAACCCCGGAGGTGGAGGCTGCAGTGAACCAAGATTGTGCCACTCGCCTGGGTGACAGAGCAAGACTCCTCCTCTCAAAAAAAAAAAAAAAAAAAAATGATGAAGAAGAATGGATTTGGGAAGAAAACCAAAAACCAGTAGTACCTGCCATAATATATTTATGAGAAAATACATGAAAACTTGTAACAGTATTTAGGAACAGGATTCTAGTCATTGGGGACATAAAGGAGAATGCCCCTATTACTATCCTTTTGAACTTTTATCATCTGTTCCATATGAATATATTAACTAATCACACATTTTTAACAGAGTAATAAAAATGCACCATACCGCATGCATGGTAAACCTCCCTAGCTGGTTCACTGACATATTTTTGTGCCCTCACCCTTAACCCCTCAGAGAGGGTTGTGTTGTGAAACTCAGGCCACATGGAACTGTAAGAAATCCATTTGATTCAGGGAGCACAGGAAGTCTCATGCCTGGAAAGGAATACAAATCCAGCTAAATGTCTTGGGGGGTTGCCAATCTTCCTGAGTCAGTGGACCCAGCTGGTACTGGGCCTCCCTTATGCCCTTCCTGACTGTGGTAGGCTTCCTTAGCTGGGAGAGAAGGCCAATTCTGCTGCCAGACCCTTGCCCCAGCACTGCTTATACACAGAGGCAAGAGGAGGCCAGATGCCTCTGGCCAGAAGGAACTAAGGTGGGGAGCCTGGGGACCAAAGCACAGCCAGCTCCCAGGAAAGCAAGTGCTGGCTGAAGCAGGAAATCTAAAGTCTCTGCCATGCAGAGTTCTGGGCTGCCCTTATGGGACTCTCATCTTTCCCGAGCCTTCATGACTCAAGAGAGCCAAATTTATGAACCTCATCATGCTTCAGATGATAATTTTTAGAAAGTAGATTTTCCTTGAACATTTAAACATTAAATGTAATCAATTATACTCTTCCCAACTGTAATGACTCAGTCTCATAAATGTTTCAAATGCCTTTAAAAATTGACAAATAATAACATCGTTACAAAACTGGATCTGTATATGCATACTAAAACCAGTTACAAATGCTAATATGAGGCCCTAAATTTGCTTCATTATTATTTGCAGTCAGCAGCCCTAGCAGCAGGTGGCAAGACATGCGCAGATGTCACTGTCTCGTCCTGGGGACCTCAGTTGGCCATACCACACCTTCCATTGGAAACACCCAGGTTTGAACCACAAACCTGACCCCGGACACATCAACTGGTCCAGGGGTGGACCCTGGACCCTAACTCAGGTCTCTGTGAACTAGCCAGGGACCTGGAAAAAACCTGTACAAAGTTATTCCCTAGAAGGGGTGCAAATGGTGACAGTTGACCAGAGCAATCAGTGATTCATTCCTGGGTTGTCTGAATGTGCCTCTCAGGCAGGAGCCCTGAGAGGAAGCTGGCCAGAAGTTGCTGGCACAGTGGAGATAAATGAGATACCAATGTCCCAGCGAGAATGGAGAGTGGGTGATGCAGAGGCAGTACTGGCTCCTGACCTCTGCTGGCCAGTTCTCCTAAGGGCCTGGCTGCCAGGCTGTACTGGGTGGCTTTCTACTGTCTGTACTCAGACAGGCAAAGGCAAAGAACTCAAAAGCTGCTCTAAGCCAAAGTGATGGCATGTGCAGAGGTCAAGTGTACAGGAAATGGAAGCTGGTCCAGAAATGTGTGTGCAAGACATGAGGGGAGCAGGACTGAGTGGAGAGCAACATTGAACGGCGAGGCCTCAATTGATCCCACAGGAGCTCTGAGCTGAGATCAGCCAGCAGTTGCCCTGAAATGAGACAAGGGGGCTTTGTAACTCCCACCCATCACTCATTTAGTGGACATAGGCTGCAGCCTACACCAGGGATGGGGGTAGGGCAGAACCCTGGGCGGGGCAGCTTCCTTCTGGCAGGGGCAATTTCAAGTGAGTGATCCATCTAACACACTGAGTCTTGCCGGTTGGTCTAGGTGGTCACAAACCAGAGGTGACAGGCTGGGCCACTGTGTGTGAGGCAGGCCTATGGTCAGAATGTGGTTGCAGAAGTCCACTCAGAGGCCAGGCCTGTTTAATCCCAATAGAACATGGGCAGGAGCTGGTGTTCATGAAATGAACCTCTAAGAGTTTGCAGGAGGAGGACTGATGGGATCAGATTTTCCTTCTAGTGTGAGGGAGGGGAAACAGAGCTCAGGAGAGGGCTCTGGTCACAAAGATGGGTGAGGCCAGTGCACAGAGGATTCTAAAGACACAGGAGTGGCACAGAGGGAAAGAGCCTGTGGAGATGAGAAGGCAAGGAAAGAGGCGTGAGTACAGCATCTGGGAAAAGTAGCATTTGCAGGCAATGTGGAGCAGGATCTTCAAAGGAGACTGAGGAGGAGGTGGGTACAGGACAGGTGGTCCTGAGTGTGTAAGCAGAGGAAGAGGGCCAAGGGATCCAGGAAGGAGAGAATCAGCAGCGCCAGACAACGACTGAAAAGCCCTCCCCTCTCTCTCTCTCTCCGCGCCCCGCCGCCGCCCCCACCTCCGCCGTGGGTTAATAAACTTGGCGATTCTGGTGACTGCCTCTAGGTGGCAGTGTGTGCACATGGTATCAGCAGCTGCGCAGCGTTCCCCAGGGACTACCAGAGTCTCCCATGGAATCAAAGTAAAAGTCCCTAGAGCTGTGACAGGGACAGGGAGAGGTACCTGTGATGTTTGCGGCATCCATCTGTGCTCTGCGTCTAGGTGTGCCTCTCTCCCCAACTTTGTAGTGGGAAGGGGACTTTCAGTGCCTCTCCTAGCAGTGTCTGAGCCTATAGGTCCCAGGGCCTTAGCATCTCAATCTCTGGGTGTGAGATTGAGACAGATTGGGGACTCAGGTGTGGTCATAAAGCTGACAGTCCTGGTTCTACCACTTACCAGCTGGGTGATTCCCTCTGAGCCGCCTTTCCCCATTTATGTTTCTAAGTCAGAGCTTTGTGAAGGTCAGTTTGCATGAGATTGTTCCAAAAGTAACACTCTATGCTGTCAAGTGGCTTTCACATTGCATAGATCCCATAGTTCCCTGGGTAGACGTGAGCAGTTCTCCACCCTGAGTGGACCCAGCTTTCAGGGGCAGAGTTGGGACTTAGCCCAGGCAGTCCGACTCCTGGTATTATAGTTGCTCTTAACATCTAGAATCTGCTCCCTCCTTAAATGTCTTATTTGGTCACATCTGGGGTTTTCTTCTTTGGCAAAACTTTCTTCTCCCATGTGGAGTCATTACCGTGTGGTTGAGTCACAGGGCTGAAAGGGCCCTGGGATGTCAGCTACTGAACAACCTTTCCTTCTCTACCACCTTCAGTTTATGAAATAGGAAGAGGGCAGAGAGACGATGGGACTCCTCGTCACCACCATCTGCTTGGATAGTCTTAGATGCCATCCTTAAAGGGTGCTCCACTGTGTCTTGTGCTCACACATGGGCTCCTATCACAAATCTTAGTCCCGTTTGCAGGGGACAACACTGGAAGGCAGAGGTCTTATGGCTGAGGCTGTAGTTGCAAATAAGAGTAGGAGCCTCCTCCAGAAGCTTGCAGATTCCTTAAGAGAGATTGTTCTAGAACAAATAGGACAAGTATTGAATGACAGGCCAAGAAATAAATTTCTGTTCTCCTTTCCCCAAGGCTTCCTGACCTCTTTTTTAAGAAAGTCAACACCAATGCAAAACTGAGCTTGTAATCAAAGTGCTGCCAAAGATGTTGGCACCAGCTCACTGCCATTGCCTGCACCCCAAGTCCTGCCATATACTGATGCAGTGGCCCATCTTCCCACTAGCCTTTCCGTCCTGACTTCCTCACCCTCAGGGCCACTGGCTTCTCCCTTCTCCGTTTTGTCCATCCCGATCACCTGGTCCCATGGATACACACCTCTGTCTGACCACAGCCTCATGCCACCACATCTTTATTCTTTACTTGCTGAGGGTTCTCCAGTCGCAGCTTTATCTTCTTTCCCCTTTCTACCAGCCCCGACAGCTGTCCCTTCTCTCACCTACTAGCCAAGACTCAGGATACAACACCTCAACTGCTTTATTTCCAACCTTCTTGAATCCTTTGCACCACTGTTTTTCTATCATGCTCTCCTGGCAAACCCCAAACTTTGATCAACCCTGCTGTCTGTGCTCCCTGCACTTGCGCTTACCCCAGCTGCTGAGTACTGATGAAGAAGGTCATGTAATCTGAGATGTGTGTTACTCTCACTCTGGGTCTCCATTTGCAGCTGGGCTTGCAACCCTTCCCCAAACCTGCCTGCTTGCCCCTGATCAGAGGTTTCTCTCATTCTCTCCTAGGTTTCTCTGAAATCCTTGGATCCCACCCGATACCCACTTACCTTCAGCAGGTGACCATTCCACCTACTTTCAGAGAAAGTAGACCCCTTCCCTCAGGAAGCCCCACCAAACCTACAGATGTGTGCATTCCTACCCAGCTTGTCTTTCTGCCTCCTGTCTCTGTAAAAGTCTAGTTGTCCTCCAGTTTGGAGCCTCTTGTTCTGAACCCCAATCCTTCCCACCTCCTCCAGCAAGCATTTTCTCTCTTCCTCCAGACTCTCCTACTCCCCTCTTCTCTTGCCTTCTCCCTTCATCATTTAAACATATTTGAGTCTCTCCTTTTTTTGTCCTGTTATTTTCTTTTTTTTCCCCACCCCCCCGGTTATTTTCTTTTAATAGAAACAGGGTTTCAGTATGTTGCCCAGGCTTACCTGGAACTGCTGGGCTGAAGCGATCCTCCCACCTGGGCTTCCCAAAGTGCTGGTATTACAAGCATGAGTCATTGTGCCTGGCCCAAGTCTCTCCTTTCTTAAACAAACTCCCTCCTGCAACCGTGTATCCTCATCATCTTCCAGCTAACAACCTCTCTCTAATTTTCCATTTGCTGTTCAGCCCACTGTTAACTGTCTTTGACCCACTTCTCCACGGAAACATTTCTCTCTGAAGCTACCAATCCCATGGTTGTTCTTCGGCCCTGTTTCACTGGCCCTCTGCAGCCCTGGAAACTGGGACCACTCCCTTTTTCTTGAAACACTTGTTGTCCCTGGACTTCCGTCCATTCCACCATCCTGGCTTTCCTCCTACCTCACCAGCCAGTCTTCCTCAGTCTTTTTGGTCCCTCTGCTCTCTGATTTTCCAAAGAGTCTGTCCTGGATCCTTTTGCCTTCTCATCTCCCAGTCCCAGAATAATCTCCTCTACTCTGATGGTTTCAATTATCACATACTGCTTCAATATCAATTCTCCCTTATTTCTTTCAAACAGGAGTTAATTTTTTAAACTACATTTCCCAACCTCCTTTGGAGTTATGGTTTGTCATGTGACTGTACTTGGCTGGCAAGGCATAAGCATTAGTCGGGGGATTTCTGGATACGTTTTGGGTGTTGCTCCTTCATTCTTTTTCTCTTTCTTCTTTCTTTCTGGAATGTGGGTGGGAAGCTGGAGCTGGGGCAGCCATTGTATGACCAAAGCCGACTCTTCCCCGTAAGGAGAGCCAGACAGACCAACAGAGAGGAGCTGGGACCTGATGACATTGTGCGGCTGCTGACCAGCCTTGCTCTGCTTACCTTTAGACATCTTGTGTCTGAGTTTTTTCAACTACAGCAAGAAAACTGAATGTAGTTAAGGCAATGTAGTTGGGTGGCTGTTTTCTTTCTCTCTCTTTCCTTCCTTCCCTCCCTCCCTCCTTCATTCCTCACTTTCTTCTTCCCTTCCTCCCTCCCTGCATTCCTCTCCCTTCCTTCCTCTCTCCCTTTTTCTCTCTTTCTCCTCTCTCTCTTTCTTTTCTTCCTATTTTCTAAAGAGATGGGGTCTTACTATGTTGCACAGATTGGTCTCAAACTCCTGAGCTCAAGTGATCCTCCTGCCTCAGCCTTTCAATGTGCTGGGATTACAGGCATGAGCCACTGCACCTGGTCTTGGGTTATGGTTACAAAAGCTAAACCCAATTTCAAATGGATACAACTCCCTAATTGATAACTTCTGCTTAGCTGTCTCTCTTAACTCCACAAAGCAAATTTCACCACCTCTTCACTGCATCCAGGAACACTTGAAATGGAAGAGGTCTAAGTCATCACCTTTCACCAAACATATTATACATCCACACAGGGTCTCTTGTGTTCCTTCTCAGTGAATAGTGCCACTGCCCGTGCAGCCAGAATATGATGTCTCCTTATTCCTCATTCTCCCATGCAATTAATCACTTCTCAGATCTAGCTCCTAAATATATCTTGATTCTGTCCACCTCTATTTCCTCATCATTTCCTTCCTAACCAATTTTTATTCCAATCTTGTTCCCTGCCACCTTCTCTTCCCATTGCAGTCTTAGGGATCTTTCTAGAGCACGGATGTAACAATGTCACTATTCTGCCTAAAATCTGCCTAGGGCCTAAGGAATACTTGGTGTATTCTTTAGAATACACCAAGTATTCTAAGGTGCTAAAAGTGATGATGCTGAGCCTGCACACACCACCCCCTCTTCTGCGTAGACCTTGCTCTACTAATCACAGGCATGGGCATGTGACCCAGACCTAGTCCAATTACGGTATCTCATCACCCTCACCACAGTGATTGGTCCAGGAGTCAACACATGACCAGAGCTGACCCAGTTAGGGTCCTTTCTTGAGATCTGTTCATACCGACTTACTGAGTGTAGACTTAGTTACATACCTGACAAGGCAAACTCTGAGAACCAGGAGAAACAGAGGGCAGGTACCCAGTCTGGGACGCTGTTAGGATCAGCCCCCAGTTTTCAGTGTCACTCTGTTTCAAGTTCTTTCAATTCTGTGAACAATCTGAGTCTCCTACCAGTAATCTCCCCTTTGATGACCTAAGCTAGTCTGAGTGGGGTTCTCATTTCCAACCAAAATGTCCCGACTGTTGTGAAAATCCTTGGTAGTCTGGCTCTAATAAGACATCTTTCCCAGGTAACAGAGTTCTTTACAGCTTATCCAGTATTTTTCAAAGTTTTACAAACTTTCTCTCTTTGGATTTTTACAAGCTTGTGAGGTGGGTTTTAGTATTACCTTGACCTTACAGGATAAGAACAGCAGGGCTCAGGGATGTGGTTTGCTCAAGATCAAGATGTTGAGAACTAGGAGAGGTAGGATACCAACTCCCTCTTCTGTTCAATTTCACCCTGACCTGCCCATGTTCAATTTCACTCTGACCTGCCCACTGGCCTGTAAACATACACAGGCTGTGGAGTGGAGCCCAGGATGAGCAAGCACAGCACTGGAGACAGACACAGAGGGCTATGGAGGAAGTCAGGGGAAGACAAAGGCCAAGCTCTTCCACTTAAAATTTGATTTATGGCAGCTTCAGATCCAGGGAAAACTCTCAGCTTCTTTTTTTGTTGTTCCCACAGTCCATATGTTAGGCTTGCAGTCTGCACTACAGTTCAGTTATATTCTTGGCAATTATGGTTCTAGATGCTAGCCAGGAAAGTAAACCACTGCTTACAATATAACGCTTTTATGAGTTGGGGCTGTCTATATTGAATTTTTATTTTTTAATAAAGGAAAATAAAATAGACTTGTTCTGCGTTTTATCTCTGAGGCTCTCTCAAGCCACTTGATGTTGCTGTAAGAATGGGTCAGATGGAACTTTGTGGGTCTTTGCTGCAGCCAGGAATGGCAGGTGAGTGTCAGATGTCACTGTCTGGGGGCTGTTGGGGAAGGCCACGCTGGCTTTGTGGGTAATCCCACCACACTTTTCACACCCTGCAGCAGTGTGGCCAACTGTTCCAGAAAGGACATGTCTCCCAGAGGCTGCTTAGGCCAGCAAGATCTCCAAAACCACTCAGTCCATGGTTCATAAAGCTGGCTTCCTCTTTTTCTATACCCATGACCTCTTGCACATCTGGGATTAAGCAGAAATCACCAGGTGTGAGTAATCATTTTCCTGATCCCAGCCTTACTAGAAACCTCCACTCTGTCTCCATACTCCTCTCCTTAATAATGGTGGAAGTGTCCCTCTGTCGGTGGTGACCCTCATTAGTGTCCATACCCCATCTCCTTTCACCTGCTTTTCCTATGATGGCCCCTGCCTTCTTCTTAGATCATTCCTATCACCGTGCAAGCCGGCTCCAGTAACTCCCATATTTTAACAAACCCCTCTGGTCCCTTCATGAAATTCTATCATGAAGGGACCAGAGAATGGCTTCTAGGGCCATCTAGCAATCTCTACCAAAGCATCCTATGCTTCCACATCCTTCTAGATCCCTCCCCATTCTCTGTTCTCTGTTAGACCTAAGTTGTGCAAACATGGTAGCTCTACCACAGCCTGCCTTCCACCCCACTACTCCAGGAACGTGCCCTTATCATGTTCACCAGTTGCCTTCATGTTGCCAGAGCCAACAGGTCCCAGTTATCTTACCTGATTCTAAGCAGTGTCTATCACAGCTGACAACTGCTTTCTGGAAACATTTTCTGTCTCTGGGATACAGCGCTCTCCTGACTCTTCTCTAGCCTCCCCAGCCTCTTTTTCAGTCTTCTTGTCTGCGTTGGTTCCCCTGGGTCCCTCCTGAACTCTCTCCTCTTCTTCGTCTACCACTTCACTCTGTGTGTCCTCAGATCCCATAGCCTCGAACGTCTTTATATTGATGTGTCCCAAAGCCCCCTCTCCAGCCCAGGCCTCTCTTTGAGCTCCTAGTGATGGGATAACCCCCACTGGATCTCTAACAGGCAGCTTAGGCTCCATGTGGCTTGAATAGACTTCCTGATATAACTCCCCGAGACGTGCTGCTTTTTGATCCAATAAATGAAGCACTGTCCACCCACTTACTCCAGCCAGAAACTTATCTTTGGTTTCTCCATTTCCTGCCCCCATGTCCTTCCTATCAATGTGTCCTGTTAAGTTCAAAATAGCATCTCTCAACTACTCATCTTAGCATGGCCACCACTTTGGTTCAAACCACCATCATCTTTGGCCTGGATTGCGGCAAGCCTAATTGGCTCCCTGCTTTTATTTTTGCCTGACACCCACGCACAGCCTTAAATCAGAACATGTTAGTCTTCTGCATAAAACCCTTCCAAGACTCAACAAAGTCTCCATTCTCTGACACAGCCCACAGGCCCTGCATGATCTGCCCGCCCCCCCCTCCCACCTTCCCACTCCATCCTGGGCCTCCTCCCCAAGGCTTGATAATTAAACCACACTGATTTTCTTTCACCTCTTTGACCCATCCAGAGCTTACCCTGAAAAGGCACCTACTGCTCTCAAGGAGGAATGTCTCTGCCTGAATTTTCCCAAGGCTAACTCCTCATTCTTTTGATTTCAATTTCAGGATCACCTCCTCAAAGACCCTTTCCCTGAATACTTCATCTGATCCTCAAAGACTCTTTCCCTGAATACTTCATCTGAGGTAGCTCTTATTCTCTATTCTAATCCCTTGTTTTTGTCCCAGCCTTTACTTCAACTTGTGATTATTTATTTGTCTTCTCCACTAAAAATTACCTTTATCGGGCAAAAAGCCTCAGCTGTCCTGTTCACTGAAGTGTCACAGCATAGACACATGGCCTGGCATCCATCAGGCACTCAGTCAAGCACTCACCATCTGCTGAATGAATGGACAGGTTCCCACGGAGGTGCCTGAACTGCCTGGGGTGTCACAGACAGGTTGCATCCCCCTTAATTAAACAAACAAAATTGGCCAGGCACAGTGGCTCATGTCTGTAATTCCAGCACTCTGGGAGGCAGCGGTGGGAGGATTGCCTGAGCCCAGGAATTCTAGACCAGCATTGGCAACATAGCAATATCTTGTCTGTAGTTAGACGTGGTGCCCTGCACCTGTGGTCCCAGCTACTTGGGAAGCTGAGGCGGGAAGTAGAGGCTGCACTGAGCCACGGTCATGCCACTGCACTCCAGCCTGGGCCACAAAGTGATAGCTTATCTCAAAAACAAAAAGCCAGAAACAAACCTGGGAATGGACCGAACAGTATCCATTTCAAGATCTACTCCTACCATTGGAATTAACCTGTTGGCTGCTTGTACTGGCATGTGGCAACCAGTCTTAGCCGAGTTTTAATTGATCCCTGTTTGGTGTTACCCAACAGAGCAGATCACTCGGCCCTCAACCACAGAATAAGTTTAAGAAACAGAGGTGTGCGTGACTCATTCTACAGGTAGGCAGGCTGAGGCTGGGGAGCCGCTTCTGGCTGTCCCTGGAAACCCCTCTTAACCCACAAGAATCATCCCAGCCATCTCTTTAGCGTAAATGTGAGGAACAAATCTCAGCCACGATCCAAAGAAAGCTTGGTATTTTTAGCACCAAAGCTAGAAGGAGCATGTCGTTACTCTTCGGTTTGCAAAGAAATGAAAACCATTTCCCCTTCCTTCTTTTGAAGACTACCACCGCCCCCAGCCTCCAAAGCCCGGCAGGAACGCCTTCTATCTCCACCACAGCCATTTTCCTGATCCTTCGCCGGCTCTCCACGGTTATCCAGTGTATCCCTCGAGACACCGCCTCCCACAGCTCGTGCTTCTCCCAGGTTCGGCTCCGACAAGGCCCGAGCGGAGTCTGCGCAGCGCAAAAAGCTCAGCGCGCTCCCGGCGGCCACAAGGCGACCAGCCCTGGGCCAGGCCAGGCCAGGCCTGCGCCGCGCACCCACTGGGAGGGCAAGGACCCGGGCCGCCCCAAGCCTCCGGCACCGCCCAGAGCGGGACAAAGGGGCGGGCCGGCGACTCGGCCTCGCGGTCCGCGGTGCCGCGCGAGCGGGGAGGCGGGGCGTGGTAGGGGAGGGGCGAGCCGGCGGGGGAGGGGCGAGCCGGCAGGGGAGGGGCGGGGCCAGGGCGGGCCCAGGCTCGCGGGGCTGCACGGGCGGTGCAGGGTAGGGGCGCCCCTTCCCTAGGCAGCGGCAGGCGCCGCGCCCCCGGCCCCGCCCCTCCGCGCCCCGCCCCCGCCGCTCGGACGGCCCGAGTCGCGCCCTCCCGCCCCGCGCCGCCGAACTTGCTCTAACTTCCTCGGCCGAGCCGGGCCGCGCCGCCGCTGCAGCCGCCGCGCGCGGGTGAGTAGAGCGCGGAGCCTGGGCTGGGGCGTCGGGCCCTGCCTTCTTCTTTGTCTGAGGCAGACTCCCCTGGGCGTCCTCCGGGGGCGAGGGCTGCTCCCCCAGGTCCCTGCTTGGTCCCTCAGCCTTCCTCCCCGCCTGCCCGAGGGCGGCCCCGCGGGTGGCGCTGGCTTTGTCTGCCAGGATCGCTCGCTAGAGGTTGGAGGCCTCGGTGGGGACCCAGCTGAGCCGAACTTCGGCGCGGGCGGGCGAGAGCCGCGGCGGGCCCGGGGCTGGCGCTCCGGGTTCGGTGGCCCTTGCCCCATCCGAGCGCTCCGGCGAGTGCGCCCCTGGGCCGGGCGGGGTGGGAGCGCCGGGGAGCCTGGACGACTGCTGCCGCTCGGGGCTCTTCTGCTCCAAAGCAGCGAGCTCGGCGATGGGCTCTCCTTTCGGCTCCGTCACCCACCCTCGGCCCCCCGGAGCTCGGGTTTGGGGTCGGGGTGGGCGTAGGCCGGGGTGGGCCGCCCTTTCTCCCTGCCCAGCCGTGGTTGTGCTCAGTCGCCCTCGCCGCGGTGGGTCCCACTTTTCCCGGCTTTGGTTTGGGGCGGCTGGAGTTTGAGTAGGCGGCGACCCAGCTTCTCCGTGTTAGTCTTGTAGGGTTGTGCCTGGGAGCAAAGCCTGACCCCTGACCTAGCCGGAGTTCTGGTAGAAAGGGGGTTTGTGGCTGCGGAGTGTGCTGGTCCGGGGCTGTTGCTGCTTCTCCTCCGCTCACAGGGGTGGGGTGCGGGTGGGTAGGAAGTGCCTGTGTGAGGGTGTGTGGAGGGACTTTGGCCCTGGGACGGCTGGAGCACTTGTCTTGGGGACTTACAGTAGGTCTCCGGCAAGAAGCGGTCCGTGCCAGGGGTAGTTGGGGGAAGTCGTGGGCCCGGGTATTGGCCTGGCTCTGGGCGTGGAGCGGAGGTGAGTGCGGCGGTGTCACACACTTCTTAGCTATCCCGGCGCTGCTAACAGGGCAGTCAGGCGGTCTTGGGCGGCAGTGCAGGGCACTGTATTGGAGCCTTTGCAGGTATGCTCTTGGCAGTGGTCTGCTCTCCAGGGGATCTTCCTCCTTTCTGAGAGGGCATTGCTCTTCCTCCCTTCCGAGAGGGCTACTGAGAGAGTGGGCTGCCAAATCCTCAAAAGTAGGCTTCCCCTCGCCCCTTGACTTTGAAGTCTAGAAGCAGTTAGTGCCTGCTGAGTGCTCCGGCCACCCTTGGCTACCCATGTCATCAATATCCTCAAATTGCTGGGCTCAAGTGATCCTCCAACCTCAGCCTCCCAAAGCAAAGGGATTACAGGTGTGAGCCACCATGTGGAGTCTGATTCCAGCCCGATCCTTAAAGTTATCGTGACAGGCCCTGGAAACCCAGGCCACCAGATGTATTTTCCCTTTCCTTCTCATTGTGTTGCACCCCAACTTCAGTTGGAGACTTTCTGGATATATCCATCCCCACATTTCTGAACTCCACTGCTTGGAGCACCTAATGTGATCCTCAATTTACTTAACAAAGCATGGTTGAGATTCTGTGTGATGCAAGGCATTGTTTTGCAGGCACTGTTCCAAGTCTGGAAAATCCCTCACCAGCTGTATACTCCATGTGGTCTTAGAACCCAGGCTGGACGTGGAGTAGGTGCTCAGTAGTGTTTATTGATCTGAGCTTGATCTCAGCATAGCAGGATTATTCAGGGAGACTGGGGGCCCCTGGGTGCTTCTGTAGGTTTGTGGCTGTCCCAGGAAGAAAGGGTATGGAGGGGCTGTGGGCTGCAGAATGGTTGGCTGCCCAGGTAAGTGTCCCCCTTCACCAGCTGGGCTAGTCTCTGAGGACAAGTGAGGGTGGCTCTCTTCCCATGTGGGAAGTTGCAGGACAAAGTTAAGGCTTTGGGTGTAGGAGGAGATGGCCCTGCCCTGAAGGTTATAGTGTTAGCAAAGTTCTAATGGAGGCCAGGGAGCAGGAAAGCCCTGGGTTCTGTAACTATTTCTTGAGGCCTCACTCTAGGCCACCATGTGGTAGAATTCCCTTTGGCAGTGCCTACAAAGTGCCATTGTGCCAGGCCTGGGAAACCTTTGCTGGTTTAAAATCTTGTGAAGGACAGGATTATAGCAGTTGTGTGGAAGGTTTCATAGTGATAGTTTATTCAGACTTACACCCTAGAAGCTTGATTTATAATAACTCATTTAATTCTTGAAAACAACCCTGATGGCCGGGCGCCAGGGCTTATGCCTGTAATACCAGCACTTTGGGAAGCTGAGGTGGGTGGATTCCTGAGGTCAGGAGTTGGACACCAGCCTGATCAACAGAGTGAAACCCTATGTCTACTAAAAATACAAAATTAGCTGGGTGTGGTGGTGCATGCCTGTAATCCCAGCTACTTGGGAGGCTGAGGCAAGAGAATCGCTTGAACCTGGAAGGCGGAGGGTGCCTTGAACCAAATTGTGCCATCGTACTCCAGCCTGGGCAACAAGAGCAAGACTCTGTCTCAAAAAAAAAAAAAAAAAAAAAGAAAAGAAAGAAAACAACTGTGATGTCTGTCAATAGCTCCATTTTACAGAGGAGGAAACTGGTCCCAAGAGGTCACAGGCAGAGTAACTTGCTTGAGGTCTCAATATGAGCTGGGTTTTCTCATTTCTTTATTTTTATTTTTATACTGATTCTTACTCTGTCACCCAGGCTGGAGTGTAGTGGCTCGATCTTGGCTCACTGCAACCTCCGCCTTCTGGGTTCAAGTGATTCTCCTGCCTCAGCCTCCCAAGTAGCTGGGACTACAGGCACATGCTACCATGCCTGGCTAATTTTTGTGTTTTTGGTAGAGACAGGGTTTCACCATGTTGGCCAGGCTTGGTTTCGATATCCTGACCTCAAGTGATCCGCCCGCCTCGACCTCCTAAAGTGCTGGAATTACAGGTGTGAGCCCCCGTGCCTGGCCAGATTTTCTTATTTCTAATTTAGGTAGTACCTTCCTCTCAGAGGTGATTAAAACGGATTCATATACCAAACAAGACTGGCTCACAGTGGAACCAATGAGTCTTTTCAGTGAAGGTGCCCTTGTATCCCTGCTTCTGAACACATCTCACCTGTCCAGCACAGCCTGGGCAGTTACCCTGAAACTCCTGCTGATTGACTGGTGATGTAGCTTCTGTCTCCCTAAGGCCAGGGAATGGGAAGACCAGCACTGCTACATGGAGAAAACTGGGGAGTCACTCCCTGTGTCTGTCTGGATAGATCACAGTTTGCTGTGGTAATAGCAATCCTCAGGTCTCAGAGGCTTAAAGCAACAGAGATTTATATCTTGTTCACGCTGTATATCCATCACTTACTGCTTTATGTTGTCTGCACTGGGGGACCCATAGTGATTAGTGGGAACATCCCTCTCTCTTGGACAGAGGGACAGAGCATGACGATCCTTGTTTCCTGCCACTGATTCCTGGTGGCCTTTAAAATGCCTTTGGGAAGGGGATTAGACTCCTGCTGCCTGTCTCTGTCCTGCCTTGTCAGTCCTTGGACATCTTGCATGGTTCATCCCCTACCTGGATGTGGCCTGTAGGGACAGCCACCTTTCCTAGAAGCAAGAGCAGGTAGCGATACCCCTGGTAGAGGTGTGGAAAGGAGTGGTGGTGAGGTGACTGAAGGTAGACTCCCACTGGGGACGGGATTGAGTGTGGGGCTAGATCCCTGGCTTGTAGAAGGGAGTAGGAACCCTCTGTGAGTTGCATTTTCCCCCTCAACCCACCTTAGCAGGGCTTTTTTTTTTTTTGAGACGGAGTTTCGCTCTTGTTACCCAGGCTGGAGTGCAATGGCGCAATCTTGGCTCATTGCAACCTCCGCCTCCTGGGTTCAGGCATTTCTCCTGCCTCAGCCTCCCGAGTAGCTGGGGTTACAGGCATGCACCACCATGCCCAGCTAATTTTTTGTATCTTTAGCAGAGACGGGGTTTCACCATTTCGACCAGGATGGTCTTGATCTCTTGACCTCGTGATCCACCCGCCTCGGCCTCCCAAAGTGCTGGGATTACAGGCGTGAGCCACCGCACCCGGCCCTTAGCAGGGTTTTAAAGAGCTAGCCACACTGTGGCTCTTGCTTTAGTGCCTGGTCACCTGCTTGGTCTCTGGTCAGTTCCCTTGGGGCCAGCAGACACCGATGGAGGTGATGAGGCCTCGGGTTCTTTTGCCTTATGGTGAACCTGCTCTCCTTAGGCATATTTCCACCTTTTCCAGGGCCTCTGTTTCTTTGCCAGTGGAGTGAGAGGTGGTGGCGGTCTCCAGCAGTGGTCCCACTCTTGGCAGGCCATCAGAGTACCTAGGGAGCTACATAGAATGAAGTTTTGAGAGTCTTTGGTCTAGGTGAATGCCAGCATTTCAGTTTGCATATCTTCCATTGTAGCACTATCAGGCAGGTTATTCATAATGTCTCCACATCCATTTTCTCCCTTAACTGCAGATGCTTTCGGTTTAGACAGAGCATGTGGCCATGTTGGTTGAGCACAGACCCTGGCAGGAGGGCAGCGTCCAGTGCCTCTGCCAATGAAGTGCGAAGTTGTGAAGATGAATAACACTGTCCAGCTTGCAGAGTGGACGCTGGTGAGGCAAGCTTTCAAGTTGCAACTACTTTCTAGTTGAATGACCTACACAAGTCTTTGATTTTTTTTTTCTCCTGCAAAAAAAAAAAAAAAGTTGTCTAATTTTCTCATCTGTAAAGTAAGAAGAGTCAAGTCTGCCTTTCCTGTCTCGCGGGGTTGCAGTGAAGCATGAGTACACTGAGAAGCAGGATCCAAAGCCCCTGAGTTAGGCCTGACACTGGTGTGAGACAGCTGCCATCTCTGGTGGCTCTCAGCAAGTGCTCACCAGCAGCTGATTCTGGAAATCCCACTTCCTCCACTCAGGGCTTGGTGGGGTTGGGTGGGGTTGGGTGGGGCTGTGGTTTTCTTTTAGGAGGCAGCAGGCCAGGCCTGGAGACCAGAGCTTGAGTGGGTCTGGGCAGGCTGGAGTTGAAACTCTTCGTCTCTTGAGGTCTGTTCTGCCTCCCTAGCTGAGAGGCCAGGGAGAAGGCCAAGAGCCTGTGCTTTTCAGCTAGATAGTTAAAGGGACTGGCTCCTCCCTCAGGCTATGCTGGCCTGTGCTGGGAGCCTGAGAGCCAGGGTAGTTGTCTCTAAAAGAGGCTTCTGGGATTCTAGTAAGAGATGAGCTCCTGCTGCTGCTTCAGAGTCTGAGTTCCCTGGCATTTGGGAGAGCTGAAGTTGGGCTGTCCTGCATGAGTAAAGCTTGGGGAGGGGCTGGGACAAGGGGCTAGTGAACCTCCTCCGAGTTCCTACTGTCCACGCTGGCCACCTGTTGGGGCCTATGTTCTGTACACTGCATGGCCTTGAGAGGAATTTGTAGCCCTAATATCCAGGAGAGGAACCCTACAGCAGTGGGAGGAAATAGGTCTCTCCCAAATCTCTTTTGTCTGTACCTCAAGGTCTGAGTGGTAATCCTGAGGATGCAGCGGGACTCCCAGCAGTAGGAGTTTACCTGTCCCCAATCTGGGTGCCCACCAGCTGTGCTGGGGTCCTCTCCTTTGTCCCTGACCAAGCCCCAGCAGACAGGATCTGTTTCTGAGGCTTGGTCAGCAGGTCAGCCACAGCCCCAGACCAAGTAGTTTTTACACCCTCTGGAGTGAGGAGTGGAAGCACTGGGTCCAGGAAGACTTAGGGAGCTGGTTAAAGAAAAAATTATTCTGACACTTGTTCAACTGGTAAGGTAGATTGTATTCAGAACTGTTCCAATAAGTGGAGGTGTTATTGCAATGGGATTTGCAGTAGGGAAGAGAGAGTGGGCCCAACTCCAAGTGTAACAAAGATAAATGAGAACTTATAGCCAAGGAGCAGAATGTGGGGGCTCCTGAAAATTTCTAAGAGGGTAGGGAAATTTTTACTAAACTTACCTGAATTCTTGTTGAAGGCAGGCCAGGGTGATCAGATTTTACCTGGGAGAGAGTAGAGGATAAGTATGATCAGATATCCAGGGTGATTAGAAGTTGAGGGTGGGGATTTGGTTTTTGCTAAACCTAGTCTCTGTGAGAATGGAGCTAGGCGCCGTCAGTCAGGCCCGGGTGAGCAGAGGGCTCAGAGGAATAAAATTTGGTGAGGGACAGGATCTTTGTCAGTATCTCATGGCTGGCAGTGTCCTGTCCATCCTTCTTGTGCTAGCCTGTCCCTTAGCAGACAGGTGTGAGTGGTCCTGAGCTTGGGGCAGTGCAAGATAAGGGACAGTTTTCTCTTTTTATAGGTGTCCCTTCTTGTGTCACTCTTTTTTTCCATAAACCTTGGTTCTTTTCAGCCTCTGCTGGCCACTTGTCCCTTGGCTCGGTTGCTCTTGGCCTGCTGGATTTCCCCTCTGCACCCAGGAAATTGCATGGACCTGGGTCCTCATTTCCCTGCAGCCTACCGATTTTGCTGCTTATGACAGCTGTCCCCCGCTAGCCTTCTGTTGCCAAATCTGGTGGCTGTCTGACCACAGCCATTTTACTCAGGACTACTGGTTTTTTTTTTTGCCCTCTGAAACTGAGTTCCTCTTGCTGCAATTTGTCTTGGGCAAACCAGTCTGACAACTTTGTGGTTCTTTATCCTGCCTCCCTCAGCCTGGGGACTGACCCGTCCCATTTGTCTGAGCTGGGCAGAGGGAGGTGCTGTGGGGGATCTCTTCCTTTTGTCTGGACTGCATACTCCTGGAGCCCTCTAGCTGGAGCTTCTGGGCATTTTGCCCACGGGAGCTTCACCAGCTTCCTTCTGTCTGAGGCCTTTAGGTCCCTGCATCCTGTCTGCCATGTTTTCCTCCTTGTCCATGAGTGAGGCTCCTCCTTTTCTCTCTGCCTTTCCTCTCTACTTGATCAGACTCTGCCTCTCTTGAGGGCTGGCTCGGTCCAGCCTCCCCTGTACAGGTGACCCTGTTTGGTTTGCCTCCTTTTCTTGAGGCTGATCTTGTCTCAGCAGCCAGCTTTTCAGGAACCAGGCCCTTGCTGTTGTAAGGAAAACCTATCAGCTGTGGATGGGGCGTTCCCTCGTTCCCAGCGGCTCAATGTCCAGCTGCCACCCTTGTAGGGGAACAGTGATGGTGACAGAACCCTGTTCTCAGCAGCCATCCTGCTTGCCATGGTCATTGTGTTTTGTTACTCTAGCAGCTTCTTGTGAAATACAAGTGATGGTATAAATGCGGATAGGTTTTTGAGGGGGGGCATGCCAAAATTAGAGTTGGTGATGGTGGGGGATTCATCCCCAAGGGCTCTCGGATGCTGAGAAAAGTGTATGAGCAAAGAGAAGCAAGTGGCATGTGCCCAGGGATGGGGTGGGGTGGGCAGGCTTAGTTGAGGGTTTCTCTGGCATAGGGTAGCCCTGACACGCTCCTCTTCAGGGCATGACCGATGAGGTGGTGAAGGCAGGTACCAGGATTTGGTGTGTTGAGGATCAGTGCCTACCTGGGGTAGGCTCTGCTCACTCCTGCAGAGAGACGACTGGAGAGGGGTTGGTCTTAGTTTCACAGAGGGTTGTGGGATTCCAGGCAAGACCTGCTGAGGGGCTTACACTGAGCCACGGAGAAGAGCAGAATGAGATATGAGGGCTTCAAGTGCCAGTGTGTTTCTCACTGTTGTGAGATCTCATTTGTGCCTTTTTATTTTTCTTGAGACAGGGTCTCACCCTGTTGCCCAGGCTGGAGTGCAGTGGCCCAATCACAGCTCACTGTAGTCTCCGCCTTCCGAGCTCAAGTACTCCTCAGCCTCCTGAGTAGCAGGGACCACAGGCATGCATGCACCACCACACCTAGCTAATCTTTAAAAATTTTCTGTAGAGATTGGATCTTGCTATGTTGCCTAGGCTGGTGTCAAACTCCTGGGCACTTCATTTGTGCTTCTTAATTCAGGGGCTACTTGTTGAACATATTTAACAGTCTTCAGAAAGCATCTTATTCTGTAAGGAGAACCAAACATACCCATTCCTCCTCTCTGACCTTCTTTTCCTGTGATCTGGACATTCTTTGAGCTTGAGGTCATTAGGAGATGTTTATTTCTGTCTGCTATGGTGGCCTAGGGGGTGGGATGGGGTGGGATGGTTATGTGATGTGGTGGGGTGGGGTGGGGTGGGGTGGGGCAGGCCAGGGGAGTTATTCTACATAGATAGAGTTCTGTTTGTGAACCACTCCCTGCCATCCACATATCTCACTAAGATGGTCTGGCCAGTCCTGATTCTAATGGCCATTATATCATTCTCCTCAGCAGCAGGAGAGGCTGGAATGGTTTTTGTATCGTTCCTTAGGGGGAAAATCACTTGGAGGAAGTATATCAGTGCTTCTGAGTGGAGAGTATTTATTGACGTCAGTTAAAGGAAGCTTTTAAACGACATACAGGTATCCCTTTAGTGAGGAATAAATCTACAAATGCATCTCACGACTCCATTTTGCAGCTTCCATTTCCTGGAAGGTACATGGAGTTGAGTGGTTAGGGAATGGGGTTTTGAGCTGGGATTTTGGAGAAACTGTTTTTAGACTGTCCTTGGAAGTGGGCCAGGCCTAGAAATCTGTTGAAACAGCTTTCTTTAGCTGCTGAAACTGGGATGTGTTCATAGCACGAGGACGTTGAGCTCCACTGATGACTGAGAGGGGAGGGCTCAGAGGAGGGTCCCTGTGGGGGCCTGAGATGCCTGGCATCAGCCCCCTCTCCTGCATCGCTTGCATTGCCTGAAGCTTGGGGTCTTAGTTGTATCATGCTTCATGGCCTTGGCAGCAGATGGTCCTTGGAGTGGAATAACTTCAGCTTTCTTTTCTGCCTTTGTCAGAATCTGCTCTTGCACTTCTTAGGAAAACTTTCTATTTTGGGACTTGGGGTGGAGTTGTAAGCAGGGAGCCCCGTGAGTTGGTGTGTCTTTATCCCTGAGGCTGCCACTGCCTGACCCTCTCCTTCTCCTTGCTTCCTTTCTCCTTGTTACTCTGCCTCGTTCTATCGAGACACCAGAAGCTGCCTTCAGAGAGCCGCAGGTAAAATTGTCTGTCCAGCCACAAACATTAGGTGTTTTGAATATTAATTTAGGTTTAACATTTTTATTTACAAAAACGTATACGTGATGAAAGACACATAACAAAGATACACAGTGAAAACTTGTTTCTGTCTCTGACCCCTTCAGTTCTGCTCCCCTGAGACCCCCTCACCAGATGTTCAGTGCCTAGTCAAGTGTGTCTGTATTCCTCTCTTGTTTATTACCCCAGTGGTATACTAATTAAGCTGTGTTGCACTTCCTGATTTTTACTGTAAAAATTTATCCCAGGATTGTTTCATTTCAGCACACACAGTTTAGTTCATTTTTTAACAGCAGCGCATGATTCTGCTGTACAGTGAATGATGACTCACTTTACCAGCCCCCTATTGATGGATTTTGAGGTTGCTTTCAGCAAGTATTTTGTTTCTATAGGCTAAGCAGCAGGAGTGTCTTATGCATGCTCTACATCTGTAGTGGAAATGACTAGATGTGGAGTTACTGCATTAGGTATATAAAAGGAAAAGAAACATGCGGCTTTGATTCCAAAGCAGGGAATGAAAGTTTATGAGGTTTTCT